GGCCTGAGCCGAAGGCAGAGGCCCAACCTACTGAGCCACCCAGGCGCCCCATCAGCCTTTCACTCTTGAGCATGATGTTAGCCCTGAATTTGTCATATCTGGCCTCTCTCATGTTGAGATATGTTTCCTCAGTGCCCACTTCATTGAGAGTTTCTATCATATTTGGATGTTGAGTTGTGTCAGGTGCTTTCTCTGCATTTATTGAGATGATCATATTGTATTTATCCTTTATTTTGTTAACATGGTGTATCACATTGATTAATTTGTAAATATTAAATCATCCTTGCATCCCTGGAATAAATCCCACTTGATCTTGGTTTATATGATACTTTTAATGTATTGTTGAATTCGGTTTGTTAATATGTCATTGAGGATGTTTGCATCTATGTTCTCAGGAATACTGATCTGGAATTTTCTTTTTGTCTGTCTGTCTGGTTTTGGTATCAGGGTAATGCTGGTCTCATTGAGTGATTGGGAAGCAACCTTTCCTCTTTAATTTTTTAGAATAGTTGGAGAAGGATAAGTATCAGCTCCTTTTTAAATGTTTGGTGAGGGGCTCAGTTGATTAAGCGTCTGCCTTTAGCTCAGGTCAGGGTCCCAGGGTTCTGGGATTGAGCCCTGCATCGGACTCCCTGCCCACCAGAGTGTCTGCTCCTGTCTCTCCCTTTGCCTCCCCCTTCATGCTCTCTCTCTCTCTCTCTCTCTCTCAAATAAATAAATAAAATCTTTTAAAAAAATGAATGTTTGGTGAAATTCACTTGTGAAGCCATCTGGTCCCAGATGTCTTGTGTTTTTGAGTACTGATTCAATTTCATTATTAACATTTTGTCTGTTCAGATTTTCCATTTCTTCTTGATTCCAGTCTTGGAAGATTGTTTCTAGGAATTTATCTATTTCTTCTAGGTTGTTTAATTTGTTTGCAACGAATAATTTTTCAGACTAGTCTCTTATAATCATTTATATTTCTGTGGTGTCAGTTATGATATCTTTCATTCCTGATTTTTTTCATTCGAGTTCTCTTTTTTTCATCATGAGTCTTGCTAAAGGTTTTCCAGTTTTATCTTTTTGAAGAACCATCTCTTAGTTTCATTGATCTTTTCTAATGTTTTAAGTTTCTATTTCATTTATCCTCTCTCTGATACTTATTATTTCCTTCCTTCTACTAATTTTGGGCTTTGTTCTTTTTCTACTTCCTTTGGGTGTAAGATAAGATTGAGATTTGCAGATTTCTTCAGTTGGGCCTGTAGTGCTATAAACTTCCCGTAGCGTGAAGTCTGCTTAAGTTTCTTTCTCCTTCTCCCTCAGCCCTTTACCCCCTCAAACAAATAAATAAATCTTTTTTTAAGATTTTTATTTATTTATTTGAGAGAGAGAGAGAAAGAACACACCCAAGCGGGGGCATGGGCACAGGGAGAAGCAGACTCCCCGCTGAGCAGGGAGCCTGATGCAGGGCTCCATCCTGGGTCTCAGGGATCATGACCTGAGCAAAGGCAGACACTTAATTGACTGAGCCACCCAGGTGCCCCTAAATAAATAAATCTTAAAAAAAAGTTCCTTGTAAAACCTCTTTGGCTACATCACTTGGATTTTGTACTCTGTTGTTGCCATTTTCATTTGTCTCGAGGTATTTTTTACTTCCTCTTTGACTTCTTGGTTCAGCCATTGATTGCTTAGTATCATGCTTAGCCTCCAGGTGTTTGTAGTTTGTAGTGTTTTTCCAATTTTCTTCTGTAATTGGTTTCTACGTTCATGCCATTGTGCTAAGAAAGGATGCTTGATATGATTTCAGTCTTCTTAAGTTTGAGACTTGTTTTCTGGCCTCACACAAGATCCGTCCTGGAGAATGTCCCATGTGTACCTGAAAAGAATGTGTATTCTGCTGGTTTGGGATGGAATGTTCTGGATATATGTTAGGTCCATCTGGTCTAATGTGTCATTCAAAGTCACTTTCCTTATTGATTTTCCGCCTGGATGATCTGTTGATATTAGTGGGGTGTTAAAGTCCCCTAACATTACTGAACTACTGTCAATTTCTCCCTTTATATTTGTCAATATTTTCTTTACATATTTAGGTGCTCCTGTGCATAGATATTTACAAGTCTTATATCTTCTTATTGGGTTGACCCCTTTATCATTATATAATGCCCTTTGCCTCTGGTTACAGGTTTTGTTTTAAAGTCTATTTTGTCTGGTGTAAGTGTGGCTATCCCTGTTTTCCTTTTTTTTCTCCCATTTACTTGGAATATCTTTTCCCATCCCTTCACTTTCAGTCTGTATGTATCTCGAGGTCTGAACTGAGTCTCCTGTAGACAGCGTATAGGTGGGTTTTGTTTTTGGTTTTTTTTTTTTTAAGATTTTATTTATTTATTTGACAGGCAGAGATCACAAGTAGGCAGAGAGGCAGGCAGAGAGAGAGAGGAGGAAGCAGGCTCCCTGCTGAGCAGAGAGCCCGACTCAGGGCTCGAGTCCAGGACCCTGGGATCACGATGTGAGCGGAAGGCAGAGGCTTTAACCCACTGAGCCACCCAGGTGCCCCTGGGTTTTGTTTTTTTATCCATTCAGTCACCCTGTGTCGTACGATTGGAACTTGTAGTCTCTTTGCATTTAAAGTAATCACTGCTGGGCATGTACTTATGATTAATGTGTTCATTGTCTTCTGGCTGTTTTTGTAGTTCTTCTCTATTCCTTTTTTCCCTTGTGACTTGGTGACTTTCTTTACTGTGATGTTCGGATTCTATGTCTTTTATGTGTCCATTCTAGATTTTGGGGATGTGGTTACCAGAAGGTTCACATATAACACACTATATAGAACTGTGCATTTCAAGTTGATGGTCACTTAATTTTGAACACATTCTAAAAGTGCTACGTTTTTACTCCCTTCCCATTTCATGTAGTTGACATCATATTTTACATCTTTTTATCTTGTGTACCTCATAAGTAATTATTGTAGCTATAATTGAGACACTACTTTGTCTTTTAACCTTCACACTAGCTTTCTAAGGGATTGACTCACTACCTTTACTATATGTTTACTCTTACCAGTGAGATTTTTTTCCTTTGTAATTGTCTTCTAATCATGGCCTTTTCTACTTAAACAAGTCCCTTTAACATTTTTTGGAATGCTGGTTTAGTGATGATGAACTCCTTTAACTTGTGTTTGAGAACTCCTCTCTCCTTCAGTTCTGATTGCTAACCTTGCTGGATGGAGTATTCTTGGTTGTAGGTTTTCTTTCTAGTACTTCGAATGTATCTCACTACTCCCTTTGGGCCTGCAAACTCTGCAGAAAAATCAGCTGATCGCCTTATGAGGGTTCTCGGATACATAACTATTTGTATTCTCTTGCTGCTTTTAAGATTCTCTCTTTATCTTTAATTTTTGCCATTTTACTTACTATGTGTCTTGGCATGGACCTCCTTGGGTTCCTCTTATTTGGGACTCTCTGGGCTCGCTGGACCCAGATGTCTGTTTCTTTCTCCATGTTAGGGAAGTTTTCAGCTATTGCGTTTTCAGAAATGTTTTCTGCCCCTTTCTCTCTCTCTTTCTGGGACCCCGATAATGCAGATGTTCGTATGCTTGGTGTTGTTCCAGTGGCACCTTATCCTACTCCCATTTCTTAAGAATTCCATCTTCTTAGGCGCCTGAGTGGCCCAGTCAGTTAAGTGTCCAACTCTTGATTTCAGCTCAGGTCATGATCTCGGGATCGTGAGATCGAGCCCCGCGTTGGGCTCTGTGTCAGGTAAGGAACCTGCTTGGGATTCTCCCGCCTTCTCCCTCTGCCCCAGCCCCATTTGAGCTTTCTCTGTCTCTCAAAAAATAAAAGTAAAAATATTTTCTATCTCTTTGTTAAAGTTCTCACCAAGTTCATCCATTCGTCTCCCAACTCTTGTACTCTTGTGAGCATCTTTATGACCATTCCTTTGAACTCTATCAGGTAAATTGCTTATCAACATTTTTAGCCTTTTTCTGTGATTTTGTCTTATTCTTGTTTCTCTGTCTCCTCATTTTGTCTGACTTTCTGTGTTTGTTTCTATGTATTAGGTACATCAGCTCTGACTCCTGGTCTTGAAAGTAGCGGCCTTATGTAGAAGGTGTTCTGTGGGGCCCAGTAATATCATCAGCCCTCATCACCAGAACCAGGCACTCTGGGGGTGTCCCACGTGTGGGCTACAGCCCACTGCACTGTCCACAATGCACTGTCCTATTTTGACTCCGCTATGATTGCTGTGGGGGTGCTGGTGAGCAGGGCTGGCCCTTGGCCCTGCTGGCTGCAGTGCCTACTGGTGGCTATTGTGGGTGTGCTGGTAGGTAGGGCTGTACCCCTCCACCCCACCTGAGGCATAAGTTGCTTTGGAGGGACACTGGTCTTGGTCAAGGCTGCCCACCAGCTGTGGCAGGGTGGTAATGACTTTGGGAAGATGCTGGTCCCAAGTGAGGCTGCCTGCCTGCTGTGGCGGGCCAGGAGCTGCTTCAGAGGGGCACCTGCCAGGGTGGGGTCAGGAGCCTAGCAAGGTAGATGGAGAAATGTCAGAACTGGTACCCACCAGCACTTTCATTCCCAGAGGATGTTCCTACAGACCCTGCCCCTTTGGCACATAACCTTAAAATGACGTGATAAATCCCCTTCGCAAATAGTCCAGGCACCTTTCAAACCACTGCCTCTGTGCTTGGTCTCAGAGAGAATGGTACCGTGTGGGCCCTTTAAGAGCTGAGTCTTGGTTTTCCATAATACTCTGGTCAAGCAGCCCCCCAATTTTCAGAGTCCCTGGGATGAAGCCATGCTGATTCTCAAGGCCAGATGTTAGGGGGCTCATCTTCCTGGTGCAGTCTTCAGGGTGGTGGGTGGTACCAGAGGTGGGGCTTGGACCTCCCGCTCCTCAGGGAGGGCCTGTCTGCCTGTGATAGCCCCACCATGTGTGGGTTGCTGTGTAGGGATTTAGCTCCTGACTTTGTCTCTGTCCCTGCTACCCTTCTTAACATGGCTTTTTCTTCATATCCTTAGCTGTGGAAGAGCTCTTCTAGTCTTCAGGTCACTCTCAGAGTGAGTGAACAGGCGGCATCTTAACAAAGATCTCAAGAGAGGTAAGGCATGAACCATGAGAACAGATCCCAGGGGAGAGGGTTCCAGGCAGGGAGCACTGCCAGTGCAAAGGCCCTGAGGTGGGAGCCGGCCTGGCAGTTGAACAGGAAGGAGACGGGTGTGGCTGCAGTTAGAAAGGTGAAAAGGGAGAAGGTAGCAGGCAATGACTCTGGGCGCTAAGTTGGGAGGGAAGAGGGAAGTCCGATCACTTCACGCTCCGTAGGCCATTGTCAGGACTGACTTTTGCCTTTTACTCAGAGTAGTGGGTGGCATTGTTGGGGGAAATTTTTCTGCTTGTTCTGTGTCCCATTCCAGCCTGATGCACAAACCCTGGCAGCAGTAGGCAGAGGCTTTCGCCCGACTCCGAAGGGGCACGATCTCCAAAGCAAGAAGGTCCAAGAGTAAGTAGTACTTTGTGCCGTGCACCTCGCTTCCACCTCACTGGGCCTTCCTTGGGCCTAGGGAACTGCCCTTAGGGCTGTAGGCCGTGATGGGCCGGCCAGAGAAGCAGAGACAGCAGGAAGCTTCTCGAGGGCTGAAGAGTTTGCCTCCACCTGTTCCGGCTCGGCTGTCTTCTGAGGAAATACAGCGGGCAAGTAGGGACGGAGGAAATACAGCGAGTAGGGATTTCAGGTCATGGTTTAACCCACCCCGCCAGGTATGCAAGGCAACCTGGATAAGCCACTCCAGGATAAGCCACACAAATGGGTCAGAGCCAGGCAGAGGCAGAAAAGAGACAGGAATTCACAGACATGCACATCACAGTGTGCAGGCATGATGTTCCAAAACCAACTCAGAAAGATCCATCGGCATCCCCTCTGTTAATACGAGGTCTCTAAAGTTGGTGACGGGAGAATTCCTGGTTTGAAAGCCAGCATGGGAAAATGGCTTAACCGGGCCTCTCGGATTTGCCGAGGGAGACGTAAGGTTAGGAAGATACAAACAAGGAAAGACGACTGTGCCTCTCACCATCGAGCCATACCATTTTGATCTTGGAACCCAGATGGGGGACAATTACTTACTTTTTAGTCTCCTTTGAAATCATCTAGGGTTTCTGGGTCTGAAACTTTTCATCAGATGCTCCTTTTCATTGTTCCTCGCCCTTGTATGCCCATCCGGAGCGGTCCGCTAACTTACCAGGACGAACTCCTCAATCTGTTTGCGGCCCCTTTCTGCTGTGAATTCACCGTGTGTGATCCATTTGATGCTTTTGGTGGGCTTTTCAGCTTCTGCAAGAAAAGGAGGTGAGAATTTGTCAGTTGCCTGGTGGTGTGGCATTGTTTAATGGGACTGTCCTTCAGGCCTCCAAGCTGGATGACTACCTTCCACAGTCTTTTTTTTTTTCTTTAAATGTGGGGTTTCCTTTTTTAAATGTCAGGTTTTTTCATTTGTTTTTAATGATTCTACCTGTTTATTTGACAGAGACACAGTGAGAGAGGGAACACAAGCAGGGGGAGTGGGAGAGGGAGAAGCAGGCTTCCCGTTGAGCAGGGAGCCCGATGCCGGGCTCGATCTCAGGATCCTGGGATCATGACCTGAGCCGAAGGCAGACGTTTAACCGACTGAGCCACCCAGGCGCCCCTACCTTCCATACTCTTAACAGCAGCGTGGATGGCACTCTTCACTAACTCTAGGGCTAGTTTATTCACATCACCGTTGTCATCTTCTTTGTCTGTCTCCTGGCTTGTAGGACTTTGATCCACATCCATCTTCTGGATATTGAAATTTTTGGTCCCATCCATTTTCTTTCCCCTGGAAAAAGAAGCTTAACAAGTTAGCCCTTGCGCATGTGTGCGTGCATCTGCCTACAACACTTGTCTAAATTCAGACCTCCGCTTGAAGGATAAGATGTAGGAAATGGTTGTTGCCTCAAAGGCTTAAGGGTGGGGATGGGAGTGAGGCCTTATGGTTTATCCTTTGTGCCTAGCTTCAGAGATCTGTTTTTCCTGAAAACCAAGGGTTTTCAGATTCTTAGAACCATGAACAGTTCGATCAAGGTGTAGTAGAATGAGTCCGAACTTCTTTGGAGTTCTAACAATATGGATTTCTAGCTGAGTCTTTAATAGAACCTCAATCCCTGCTTAGGCAACTGAGAGCACATGCCCAGCCCTTTTTTTTTTTTAAGATTTTATTTGAGAAAGAGAGAACATGAGCAGGGGAAAGGGCAGAGGGGCAGGGAGAGAGAAAGAGAAACAGATCCCCACTGAGCACCGAGCCCAACGCAGGGCTCGATCCCACGACCCTGAGATCAGAATCTGAGCCAAAACTGAGTCGGATACTTAACCCACTGAGCCACCCAGAGACCTGGAGCTATGTGCCCAGGGGCACCTGGGTAGCTCAGTCAGTTAAACGTTGGACTCGATTTTGGCTCAGTTCATGATCTCATGGTCGTGGATCAAGCCCTGTGTTGGGCTCGGTGCTCAGTGCAGAGTCTGCTTGAGATGCTCTCCTTCTCCCTCGGTCCCTCCCCCTGCTCGTGCTCGCTCTCTTTCTCAAATAAATAAATAGATAAATCTTTTTTTTTTTAAAGGATAATGTGAATTAAAATCATTAGAGGCAATACAGCATAGGATGGGGATGGGTTTTCAGTTTTTTTCTCTTGGACTCTCCAGGTGTACAAATTATATATCATGTGCCAGAAACTCACTTTTTACCATCTCCTCTCCTGAGGTAATATACTCCCATGAGCACTTGCTTTGGTGAACACTTCCAGAAAACTGTTCAGTGAAAGGGAAGGTAACATGCCTCCTGACTTCAGGGGGCGTGCTTCCTGCTGTCCCATCATAACGTGTGCTGCTGGTTTGTGGTGACAGATGTGTCACATCGGGAAACTCTTTGCTCCTCTTCTGGTAAGAGGTTTATCATAAATGATCACTAAAATTTTCCAGATGTTTTTAACATCTACGGAAATGGTGAAACTTAATCGTTATTCGGGCTGTGAACAAGGGTTCATCACAGTGTAAGACTCTGCCCCTTTTCTGTCTTTTTTCCATCCTTTCCTCTTGAGTCTTGGATTCTCTTTCTTTCCTGGCTACTGCTTAAGTCTCTTCACTTTTGACAAATCACTTCCTTCTAGCACAGCTGTGCGTCCCTGTGGCCAATGGCATGGGGGGGTTGCTGTAGCAAAGTGGGTGTCTCTCTCCAAAGGGAGCTCATTATTCTTCTGTAGTTACTGCTTCCAATTTTGGGGTGTTTAATGTGCCTTGTTTCATTTAACTCAGCCCTACTCCATGAAATCGTGCACTAGACACCTTCCATTTGCCCTTTCAGATCCACTCCTCCTGTGTCCCCTGCTCTCTGTCCTGGAAGGCTGACCTGGCTGGACTGCATCAGTGGGCTCTCCCCTTCCCTCTGGCTTCCAGGAGGTTCTGCACAATGCGGAGACCAGGCTGAGGGAGGAGAATGAGGGCAAGTGATATGTTCCCTGGGGAGCAGTCCGCCTTCAGGGTCCCCTGTGGCTGGAGCGGACCCTGCTTGTCTCAGGGCAGGGGTCTCACTTCTCAGCCCCGTAAGGGCAGTTATGCTCTCCCCTCAGCCCCGTTCTAGAACAGCCCAACTGTTCTAGCCCCAGGGGAGCTGCACTTGCCCTTGTAGCCCTCCTGTCCGCCCACACCTTCGTAAACACTCCGTTCACTTAACCCTTCTCTACCTGCACTGCTCTTAGTATGCCAGGTTTCCTGGTGGGACCCTGCGACACAGAGAGACTCTTGTCACCACATGAAAGGAGGAGGCCAGGCTCACGGCCGGACTGTCTGGCTCGGTGGCTGATGCACTCAACTACCCCACTCTCTTCCCTCCAGGACTCCAGAGTCTGAAGCCCTCCTGAAGTCCAGAATGTGCTCACTTGCTTTCTGTGAGCCTCTTCGAGGAGAGGCACCCTCCGCCCCCTTTCTCATTGTTGGTTCCAGGGTGTGCTGGGAGCTGTCCAGGGCAGCCCAGTTCTTGGGGCCGTCAGTCCAGGCATGGTCTGAACAGCCTTTCAAGCCTTGGGTAATGCTGACTTGTGTTCATTTGGGTCTTCATATTAGCATTTGTGGCTCGGTTTGCATCTGCCTCAGTTCCCTGTGGCTGCTCTCCGGGGGTGGACGAGGCCGTGTACTGGGGGAGGACGGAGTCTTCCCAGGCTGCCCGTCCCAGACAGTGAGGGGAGCCTGAAGGTTGGCCAGTGAGGGAGTCCAAAGGCCCTTGAGCTAGAGAACTGGCTGTCCCCAGCCTAAGAATTGGGCCAATTAGGCCACAGCAATTTGCTATAAACTCTGTAGTTAAAGACAACAGTGGAGTTTTTTTGGTAAACCGGTAAATTTAGGAGGCTTTGGTGAGTTAACCGTACAGCAACTTGATCCTTTAAACGAATGGCCCACGTGGCGACTCGGTCACTCAGTGACTTGGGTTTCAGCAAATTGCTTCTTGATGAATTGAACAGAAGCCAAATATGTAACTTCCAAAACCAGGCAGAGGAGGTGGGGGGTTCTCATCCATGGAAGGACCTCCTTAAGACCTTCCCTAGGGAGCCCTGTTTTCCGGCAGGAGGGAGAAAGGGGAGCAGGGGCTCACATCGTGCCCTTGCACATCCATGGGCACGCATCCGTCATAAGCGTCCCTCCGACTGACTTGTCCTCGTGCTTCGCCTCCCCTCCCTGCCTAAGGAGAGAGGCCAGATGGGCAGGAAAGGCCGGGCGTGTGGTGGAGCCCGGGGTCAGGTGACAGCTGCGGAGAACCAGTGTGAGGCCTCTCTGCAGCACCCCCCACCCGCCACAAGCCCCCCACCCCAGTACCTGAGTGAGCAGATCCTTGTTGGGAGCAGTACCGGCCAGGTCAGCCTCAGACTCCCGCTGCTCTGGCCCGGGCCCGCCAGACAGAATGTTGACATGTGCTCCCCGGGCAACACCCGCTCCCGCCAATGGGAGGCAAAGCCCTGAGGGGCCACCCGCTTCTGCCGGTGAAGGCAGGGACAGTCCGTCCCAGCAACCTTGTGACCTCTGCCCTGTGGCACTCGTGGCCAGCTTCCTCCGGCGGCGGGGGAGCTCGAAGGGCTTTTGCCGGAGAAGCAGGGATGGCAGGCGCGGCATGTGGTGGGGGTGATGGGGGTCCGCTCTCTGGGCCACTGGGTGCAGCGCCGTGTGTGTGCGTGTGTGTGTGCGTGTGTGTGCGTGCGTGTGTGTGTGTGGTCTCCGCCTCCTCCTGGCAGCCTGCTGGCCACCAGTAGTGTTTGCGTTACCGGGAGACACAGCAAGGCACCCAGGGTGTCAGGCCCAGGGCCGCTGGCCTCACTGACGGAACTCCTTACTTCTCGAGACCCACATTCCCAGGCTCGGAACTCCCTGCGTGCTTGACTGTTTTCAGGGGTGTCTTTTGTGAATCACGGATGAGCTTCCAACATAATGGTTATCAGCCTAGACCCGGGGACAGTTTACTGCACGTTTCATAGTTTCCTCGTCTGCGAAATGGGGATCGTAGTGCCTGTGGAATAGGGGTCCGCAGGAGGACCGGATCCCGCGATTCCTGTTAAGACTGGGAACAGTGCCTGGTGCGTCAGAAGCGGTCTTCACACCGCCCAGATCGTTTTTCTAGTATTATCACTAACAGCAGGAGCACCGTAGAGCGTTCTTTCAAATGGTAAAATGGAGGGGCGCCTGGGTGGCTCAGTGGGTTAAGTGTCTGCCTTGGGCTTAGGTTATAATCCTGGGACCCCGGGCTCGAGCCCTGAGTCCTCGTCATCGTCATTGCACTTGTCATTGCCATCCTCAGGCTCCCTGCGCACCCTCTCCCTCCCCTCCCTCTGCGGCTCCCCTGCTTGTGCGCCTGTGCTCGCTCTCTCTCTCTCTCTCTGTCAAATAAATAAAATCTTGAAAAAAAGTTGTTGGCCCTGTGTTAAGAACCAGTTTTATTTTATTAATTTTCTGTGAAATCCCTCCGTCTCACAAGCCCTGCTTTGTGTCCGGAGTGCTAGGCTTCTCACCCCATGACAGTCTCCATCCCAGCGAAGAAAGGGGAGCGATTTGCTAAGTGTCCTCCTCACCCAGGGCGAACACTGAGCTGTGCCTGGAAGACGGTCCCGCGCACAGAGCCTGCTAGTGTGATGGCGCAGTGACATGGGGGCTGGGGCTGGAAGGGAGAAGGGTGGGAGGGAATGGTGCGGCTTGCAGGAGCTCAGCCTCTGATCCCACACAAGGGGCTCCCATCCCAGCTCTGCCACAGGCTGGCTTTGTGACTTTAGGTAGGTTGTGTCACATCTCTGAGCGTGGGGATCTTACTTACAGTCCCTTCCTACCCCTGATAAGGTGAAACGAGGTGGTTCGTGGGGAGCCGTCAGAACAAGGAAAAACACCCGAAGTGTGCAATGAACGCTAGTTCCCACGGTCAGGTTGGTGGAGACGAGCCACCACGGGCAGAATCAAAACCTAGAGGGGTCAGAAAGAGTCCACCGCTTCCACAACGTAGGGCACATGTGCCTGAGACAGGAGGGACTGGTGTGTCTTGAGCTGTCGCTGTGCAGGCCCGGTGCCCAGCCGCCGAGCCAGGAAGAGGACTTGTGTGACACGCTCACTGGTGAGCACGCGGGCTCAGGCTCCAGAGCTGCCAGTACTCTCAGTGATGATGACCGGCCTCAGTGCTCCTCCCACACAGCCCATCAGATCAGCGGCTCCGAACCTTCTAGTGCCGCAGCAGGCCTGCCCTTCCGGACTCCCTGGGGGACAGTGGGGAAGTGGTAGCTGCTGGGCCCTGCAGAGCTTCCTTTGTGTCAGGCTTTGGTGGGCAGAGGCAGCAGGACCTTTCCCAAGAAGCTGTGGGACCACTGGTGAGGGGTGAGAAGTGTGGGCCGAGGACCTGGCACCGGGATTCTTATTCGCCCAGAGGAGAAGGACGTGCGGGCAAGTGACAAGAAGCTCCTTGGAGGCAAGATGCGTTCATGGGGGAAGCCGGGCGAGAAGGTGCCTCTTTGAATGAGAAGCTTAAACTCTGTGGCCAGAACTTGACCTTCCCCTCCCACCCCCCAGCCAAGCCTGTTCCCCAAGTGACAGATCCTGGCCCTGGGCCCTCCTTATGGAGCGGCCTCTGATGCCAGGCAGTGCTGAGGGCGGGTTCTTCTGCTTTTGCTCCCC